TTCTATTAGTCAAAAAAGTCATGTACACAAGGCTACAGTAAATCAAGAAGGAGTTATACACCTTCCACTATAAGGGAGGCTCTCTGAAAAGATGCCAGTTAGAAGATGCAGCAAATTTTGACTAAAAACAACAACAAGAAAAAAAATGCAACCTACCACACAGATTTCTACTGGAAATAATCACATCATTATTATTCAATAAACAAAAACAGTAATAATGGCAGCTACTTAGAATGCCTATTTTACTAATTTCCATTGCTACTACTTAGTCAAGGTTATTTCCTATTCCTATTTCATTTAATAATGCCCTGTTTCAAATTTATCCCTTTCCCCAAACATCTAAATAAATCATTACAAAATAGTAAAAAAATAGTGAAAAAACAAAAAGAAAAACCAAACTCATTGCCACTGAGTCAATTCTGACTCAGAGAGTCCCCCTTTTTTGGTTTCCGAGGCAGTAAAACTTTCTGGAAGTAGATTGTAGTAGTCTTCCTTCTGCAGAGTGGCTGGTGAGTTTGAACCACCAACCTTCTAGTTAGCAGTCAAAAGCCTAAGGCACTACACCACCATAACTCTTATAAAATAGTAGTACTTTCCAATTTTCCTCTCTGTATATGACCTTATAGTAGTTTCTTGTTATCTTTTATACCCAGTTATGTACTTTAGATGGCGTTCCTCTTCCTCCATACATGTAATTGAATAGCTTTGCTTCACTACAAATACGTTGGTTTTAGTAATGATCAAAGTAACATTTAACATTCATTCAATAAATAGCCATCAAACCACTACCTCTATGCCTTTGTAGCAGAGTTTTCCCCCATAAACATTTTCTCCCAATATCAATCCAAATTTTCATTTTCATTCTTGGACAAGTTCATGACATATTTCCTTCATGGACACTTCCATTATTGAATTTATCACATTGTTGCTTTTCCTTTCTCTAAAGCCCATTTCACTCGTGATCTGTGAGAATTAGTTGAGCACTAAATTTATTTGGGTGTATTTTTTACCTATCGTATTTGGATGTGTAGTACCCCCTAAGAAGCTATAGATAAATTGTGAGGCAGTGCTGAATGTTTTTGGATTTTATTTTCTTCTGTCTCTAGACAATCTCTAGGTCATGCTTAGATTACCAAGAGCTCTTATTAAAATTTGTTTATCTGTTATTTCCTGTTGTCTCTTGAAAAAAATGACTTTTTCAATATTTGTTCCTTGAATCTCTCAGCTCTAGGTGAAAACAATCACTGTTAATTCCCATGAGACTCTAAAAATATTTTCCCTTTGTGAACTCAATGATAGCATGTTTGCTGTTTAATAAATCCCATTGCAAGATGATGATTTCTTGGTCATTTCCCAAGTCCCTACAACATCCATTTTATCTATAACTGCTTAACAACTAATGGTTCAACTAGGTCACTGATTTTTTTAAAATTGCCTTTTCATACGCTCTTTGCTCGAAGCAACTTATCATTCTGAATGTTCGAAAAACTTCATTCTGACATAGATCTGGTAAGTGAAGTTGCTTTCAAATAATTTTAAATGTCTGGCCTTCTCATTCCCATCTCCTAATCCTTATTCCATGGAGATGAGATCAATAAAACAATTTTGTATATATTGGTGTACATGAAGGAACAATTCAAATAAGGTTAAAGCTAAAGAGATTGATCTTTGATCTCTTTCCCATAAAAGTGATATGCTATATTCTTGAGGAAGAAACTCAATGAGATGGATTGTCACAATGACTTGAAAAATGGGCTCAAAGACAGCAAAGATTATCAGGATGGTGCAGGACCTGGCAGTGTTTTGTTTTGTCATATATAGGTGTGTTACGTGTCAGAACTGAATCAACAACACCTAATAATAAAACAATTACAATGTTCTTTAGATGATGAAGGTAAGTTTTTAAGTTATAGGGTTATAAATATTTACAGGGAGAATAGATCCTCATATTTTAAGATAAAAAAATTTAGGACAATTCTTTCTCTGAGCTATATAATCCTTTTCTGCTGAATGAATAACAGAAAAATGGATTCTTAATGTGTTTCTCCTGGGTTTCAACAAAGAAACATTTATTTGTCAAAATATTAAGTTTTTTTTTCTGGAAATTTACATTGATTCTGTAACTGTTCATTGAAACCTCATATAATGTTGCTTAGGAGCTCATGCCTCTAAATATGTGATATAATTGCCATCTTTGCTCTTCCAGTAAGGATATGCTTGAGGGTGAATTATAAATGACTCTGTGGTGTGTATGTGTGTGTGTGTGTGCACTCACATTTAACACATTGTCAACACAGAATAACTACTAACTAAATGTTAGCTATTATTTTAGGATTATATAAACAACTCGATGAATAAATAGACAGGAGAGGAAGAGCTATTCACAATGCTGTAACCCTGGTTTGATTGCCATTTAGTACCGGAAGGGAAAGTATTATTTGCAGTGTCTGTGACTTATATGGTATTTCCCTGCAATCTCTAATATCCTATAACTTCCTTTCAAACTGATAATGCCAAATGAATGAATGGAAAGCTTGGAAAAATAAGTTTTCATAGAGGAAAACAAATCTATGAATACATGTTGCTAGAATAATTCAACTAGAAATAAAATGCTGGTCATTAGTTAGTATGTTATGCATCAGATGCCAAAAATCACATGTGACTTTGTCCTCTCTAGACTACCCTCACAGGAATGACCAGATTTAGTAATAGGTCTTGATTGTATCAGAGCCATTCTAAGAAACAGTTTTACAGTTACAGTGAAATAATTAACAATAATTTGTCATGTTTTGTTATTAATGTAATATCATGAATATTAATGATTAATTAATTAATATTAAGTAGAATTAATTAATATTAAGTAGAGTATAAACTGTGATGAAAACTTTTCCTTTATTGGTTCTATTTTGCTTTGTTGTCAGGGCTTCTATTTAACTGAAGTATTTAACATTGAAACTTCATGTGTCTACTAAGGAAAACAATCTCTCAACTTCCAACACATCTTTAGGGTTTGATGTAAGGTTTATGTTCTGGTTACCTAGTGCCACTCTGACAGGAATCTACTACAAATGGGATGGCTTGAACTAACAGGAGTTTATTCTCTTGCAGTTAGGGAGGCTAGAAGTCTGAGTTCCAAGTGCCGAGCTCTAGGGGCTGTGTGAAGAACCCTCAACCTTGGGCTTCAGCTCTGCCTCCTGCTTCCAGCCAATAGAAGCTAGAGGCATCTCTTCACTCAGGCAGCTACTGGCACAGTCCCAATGTTACCAAACCACATAGCAGGCCATTAATTCAAGTCCATTGTAAGTCCCAAGGTCAGCAGAGCATGGCAGGTTGCTAAACAATGACATGGCTACATGCAGGGTTCAAGCGTGCCAAAGCTATTTCTCATATTTGGAAAGCAGACCACATACCCAAAGGCAGCTATTCAGCTGCTCCCAGTAGATTCCACCATGGAGTTGAGTACCAGGCTCATCATGGGGGATACTATTTCCAGCTGCCCAGCCACTCAGCCAGGCCTAGCCAAGCTGACACACAAACTTAACCACCACAGTGTATCATTAATAAATTAAGCTTGTGTACTAACTATACTGGGTGGAAAAAGATAATGTTTCTCTTTGTCATATTTTTATGCAAATAACTTTCACATTATACATTTTTGCCAACTGCACAACCCCTTCATGTATTTTCCTAAGTGTGCTATGTGTGTTATATACATGGGCACAATATTTGCTCAAAATATTATATTTGGTTCTGAAATATTAATTACATCTAATGGTATCAAGAATAGGAGCCCTGGTCATGCACTGGTTAAAACACTTGGCTGCTAACCTAAAGTTCAGTGGTTCAAATCCACCAGCTGATCTGTTGAAGAAAGATGTGGTACTTTACTTCCGTAAAGATTTATATGCTTGGGAACCCTATGGGGCAGTTCTACTCTGTCCTATAGGGTCACTATGAGTAGGAATTGAATCAAAGGCAGTGGGTTTTTGTATTTTTTCCCCCCTTTTTGAGGGAAGAAGGTATCAAGAGGAAAATACCATGCATTATACACTATACTCCAAATGTCATAAAGAGGAAAGGATACATTGCTTATTTACCTATAAAAAATTTTTATCTGAACACTCATGACATTATTTGTGGAAGAGGTAGGCATGTTGTTTAGAGGTACTATCTACCATGCTGTTAGTTTTTTTTTTTTTTTTTGTAGGATTTTGACTTGGCATGGAAAACACGGCATTACTTCAAAATAACTATCAATCAAAATGAAAGTGTTTGCTTGAGACAGAATAATTTCCAAACAGAAATAATACTATATATAATAAGGAAAGCATCTGATTATACTATAAGGAGGGAGCTCTGGTGGCATAGCGCCTAAGGCATCTGACTGCTAATCAGAAGGCTGGCGGTTCAAACCCACCAGCCACTCCTCGGAAGGAAAATTGGGCAATCTACTTCCGTAGAGATACTGCCTCAGAAACCCAAGGAGGGGTTGCTATGAGTAAGATTCAACTTGACGGCAGTGAGTTTGGTTTGTTTGGATACTATAAGGATAGCAAGAAAATCTCCATATTCATATGTTTTGTTCTAACAAACAGCCAGGAAATAATTGTTTGAGTTGGTGCACTCCACTGCTGTCAGGTCGATTATGACTCTTAGCAACCTTACAGGACAGAATAGAACTGCCTCATGAGGTTTTCCAGACTGTAAATTTCACAGAAGTAAGACTGCCTCAACTTTCTGCCATGGACCAGCTGGGGTGTTCTAACCGCCTTTAGGTTAGCTGCTGGGTGTTTAAGCACTGTACCACCAGGACACCAGAGTAGATGTAAAGGGCATTAATTAATAATTATGCATACGTTCTACACAGGGAGCACATAGCCACAAAAAGATTGAAATGGAAAATAAAATGATCATTATGTTTTAAGGAAAAGTAGATTTAGAAATGGAATTTTTTTGCTTCAAGAAGTAATATTTTCTTTTGATATATATTTTTTTGATACAGGCTTCTACCTATTATTTAAGACAATGGATATTGCCAATATATCAACTGTGTCTGAATTTGTTTTGCTGGGACTCTCTAATTCCTGGGAGCTACAGATGTTTTTCTTCGTGGTGTTTTCATTGTTTTATGTGGTAACAATGGTGGGTAATAGTCTCATAGTCGTCACAGTTATAGCTGACTCTCACCTACACTCTCCTATGTATTTCTTGCTTACCAATCTTTCAATCATTGATATGTCTCTTGCTTCTTTTGCCACGCCCAAGATGATCACAGACTACCTCACTGGACACAAAACCATCACTTTTGATGGTTGCATAACACAGATATTTTTCCTACATCTTTTTACTGGTACTGAGATTATTTTACTCATGGCTATGTCCTTTGACAGGTATATTGCAATATGCAAACCTCTCCGCTATGCTTCAATCATAAGTCCCCAGGTGTGCATTGCTCTTGTGGTGGTTTCCTGGGTGGTGGGAGTCATGCATTCAATGAGCCAGGTCATATTTGCCCTCACATTACCATTCTGTGGTCCCAATAAGGTAGATAGCTTTTTCTGTGACCTTCCTGTGGTGTTCCAATTGGCTTGTGTAGATACTTATGTTCTGGGTCTGTTTATGATCTCAACAAGTGGCATAATTGCCTTGTCTTGCTTTATTCTTTTGTTCAATTCTTATGTTATTGTCCTGGTTACCATCAAGCATCATTCTTCGGGAGGATCATCCAGGGCTCTTTCCACTTGCACAGCTCATTTCATTGTTGTCTTTATGTTCTTTGGACCATGCATCTTCATCCACATGTGGCCACTAAGCAGCTTTCTGGTAGACAAGATCCTGTCTGTGTTTTATACCATCTTTACTCCCATTCTGAACCCAATAATCTATACTTTGAGGAATCAAGAAGTTAAGATAGCTATGAGGAAACTGAAGAAGAGGTTTCTAAAATCCAACAAGGCAACCCCTCATCATTATTTTTAGTTTTAACTTCCAGTTTTACTTAACTTCTTGTTATAACTTCCTCGACTTTAAGTGTCACAGTGTTTGTGCACACAGTATTGGTCACAATTCTGTATTAAACTCTTGCTTCTGGTGCTATCATCAAATTATAATTGACAGGAATTTGTGAAGCCACAAGGTAAGTGCATTTTGGAAGTACTCTCATTTATATGTTCAAAATACATGTTGAGTTTTAGAGGAGTAAGCTAAGAGAAATAACTTGTTGCAGATGTGTATATTATCCAATATTAAAAATGCATTAATTGGAAAAGAGGAACTAAGAATGAGAAGAGGAAAGATAAGTAACTGGAAAACTAGGGGATCATGACATTTGCTTATAGCTAATTACTGAGTTAACTCAGAGTGTTGCCCCTAAATTATGACAAATTATTAACATTTCTATAAGCCTCAGGGAGTCCATATTGCTGCAGTTCAACCTCTGACAGAAAGGCAATGACTTGCTACATACATCCTTCAACCACTCATCCTTAACATTTAACCTGTTTGCCATCTCTTGTATGAGAGGAAGCATATTTCATTACAAATGTTGATGGGGTCCAAAGAAATGTAGAGGAGACTTTACCAATCACTCTCAGCAAATAAGCATAGCTATTCGGCCATAGTAACTGCTTTTGGTAATGCAGAGTCAGAACGGAATTTGATAGTCTCTGCAAATCAGAAAATATTTGAAAGGAATTGCAAAACAATACTGTTTAATACTATGACAGGTTAATTCCTGGGAAGTCAAAATTAGAATTAAATTAAGACATTGTTGTTGTTGTTGTTGTTATGTGCTATCAAGTCAGACTGGATTCAAAATGACCCCTCCTTGGGTTTCTGAGGCGATACCTTTATGGAAGTAGACCAATCTTCCTTCTGAGGAGTGGCTGGTGGGTTTGAACTGCCAGCCTTCTGGTTAGCAGTCAAGTGCCTTAGATGCTATGCTGCCAGAGCTCCCTAAATTAAGACATACAGCTTATAATAGTAAGTGAACTTATGGAGAACTTATGCTTTCTTTTTAAAGTGTTATATTGCTTTTACCTTTAAAAATTACTATTTAAAAGTAAATTATTTTTTAATTTTAATATATAGAGGCACAAATAAGAAATTTGTGCTTAGTGATACACTGTCAATGCAGTAACTATATTTATGTCTAGTAATAGGCTTTATAAGGTTAAATAGATTTTTTTAAAAGGTACACACTATATTAGTTTACAGTACACAAGATATCACTACCACCTGATGGAATTGGAATTGAAAGTCATGAGATTTTCTTCTGAGTGCCATACCTGATAAATCATATTTTTAAAAATGATGGTATGTATTAAATGGTTAGTTGTTACTTGGAAGTTACTAAGTGATATTTATAAAACATCATCCCTAGTGTATGATCCATATTGCAACCATAAAAAACAAACCAAACTCATTGCCATCAAGTCGATTCTGACTCGTAGTGACTCCCATTGGCTTTCTGAAGCTGTAAGTCTTTACAGAAGCAGACTGCCTCATCTTTCTTCCACAGAGTAGCTGGTTGGTTTGAACCACTGACTTTTTGGTTAACAGCCAAAAGCCTTAACCACTACACCACCAGAGCTCCTTTTCTTGCAGTTGTAGTATTTGATAAATGTCAAGTTGTTGTTTTATGGCATTATTGAGTAAATGGAGGAAACCAAGATTGTGTATGCCATAATTACTATTGATGATAAAAAAAAAATTAAGGAAAAGAACTTCCCAACTTTCCATTTTAAGCCAAATGGTAAGAGGAATGTGGCTTTTCTTCATAGTTTTTTTGTGTGTATATTCTTTTTTTTCCCCTTCACTAATGTATTCAACAAATAGGGAATAGTTTCTAGGTTACAAGAAAATTACGTAGCATTGTATTTGAAACTTAGGTAGGTGTGAGGTTGTTGAATGAAAATATCAAGAGTATTATGAGAACGAAATGTGTTTATATCAGCAAGATGATCAAATATCTCAATTCTATTTGAAATAGGAATGAAATGAACTGATTTAAAATGTACGTGTGAACTTTACTTCTCTGTTGCAGTTACCTGTGCATATATACTCAGGATCACAAGCCTCATTAATTAAAACATTTTTTTTTTTTTTTTTTTGGTGTTTTAGAAATTCCCCAAATAATTCCTCCAAATAACATTTTGGGCCTGAAAATATTTTTAAAAATTACTTGTATCTTGCTTTGTTTGCTATATAAAAACATGGAATCTTTTGAAAGGTATGCCATCAATTTTCCATGCTTTTGTGGAGAATTCTAAAACCCTAAAACAGTACAAAAACAAAACAAAACATTTCAAAGGTGTAACTGATCAGGAGACAACTGTATAAGGTTAATGACATGAGTACCTGGACTGATAACAAGGCTCTGCAGCTGAGAATGAGAAATGACATGGCCACCCTTGGAGGACTTCTAGTTATCTTCTCTGGTGACTCAACAAGGAGTGTCACTATTCAAGATAACTCTACTTATTATTCAAATACCTAAATCTTAATTGGGAGTTCTTGGTGAATGATGATATCATTGTCTTTCTTCACTGTTTGCTGACACTGTTGTACCAAGAGCAAATGCAGTGGAGGTGCCATTGCTCCATGTTTGGTGTTGTTGTTATGTGCCGTGGAGTCAGACCTGACTCATGGTGACCCCTCCTTGGGTTTCCAAGGCAGTATCACTACAGAAGTAGATTGCCCAATCTTCCTGCTGCTGGGTATTTCTCCATAAGCAATAGTAAAGATGGTGCCATGTTCCACCAGAACCTCCAAAGGTGGAAATGATGTTTTGCAAAACATGCTCAACAAACAGAATCCAGTTAATATAGATAAATATACCAGGGTGAAGGTAGCTTTTGATGGTGTGCACTACTTCCTCTGACAAAATTGCAAGAATGTTGAAATATTAAGTATTTACAAGATGATTATGTTGACAAGTATCTTCATCATCCTTTAGGTGTTTGGGAAACCATGAAGCTTAATAATATCAAATCTATAAGATTTTAAATATTGTGACAAGGAGGGAAACTGAACTGTCTTGTAAACTTAAGGAGAATAATCATGTGCAGTTGGAAAAAAAATCAGACTTAGATAAGAATACAATAAAATGTAAATTGTATTATGTGAAGGGATTGAACATACGGAATTGCAAAAAACCTTAAGTAATATATACTTCCAAAAATGTTTGAGGGAAATTTCAGAATACTACATCGTGTAATGATGGTTTTACCATGAAGCTAAAGAAGTTTAAGTTTCAAACCCCTTCTTTTTCATCGATGTCCTCCAAGTCCCTTATTCGTGGTCCAAATAAATTTTATTTGTCATTTTGCATTTTCTTTTTCCTTATCAGAATTCTCTCAGACTATAGCTGTTTTAAGCTCCACAGAACTTCTAGTCCTGGGTGTAGAAATAAAAAGTCAGATAATCTTTTATCTTTTAACCTACGTTTAATGCCAATTCTAATGTTTCTTGAAGGTATATACTTGTGCAAGATGCTTAGTCTCTTAGCCTTACTTTCTACATTTGTGAAAGGAGATGATAACAGTTTCTAAGTCATAAGATTATTTGAAGAATAAAGGAATTAGTTCATACAAGGCATATAATAAGTATTCAATAAATGTTTGTCATTATATCATTCTGGGTGATTAATTCTGGTTATCTTTTTTAAAAGAGACTTAGAATTTCCTTGAGCTAGCAATTAATTTCTTTCATTTGAAAGCAAAATCTTATCTCAAAATCATAAAAAAAGACCAGGCTTACTAGTCTGATAAAGACCAATGAAACCCCGAGACTATGGCCGCGAGTTACCCTTTGGGCCTGGAAACTGAATCCGTTCCTGTGCTTTAACTCTCAGCTAAGCAATAGACAGGCCTAGGAGTTGAACACCTGCAACAGGGAGATGCATTCCAAACTCTGTTGAGTGGGATCTGACTCATAGCAACCTCCCCTTGGGTTTCCTAGGAGGTATCACTACTGAAGTAGATTGCCTATCTTCTGGGGAATAGCTGGTGGGTTTGAACTGCAAGCCTTCTGGTTAACAGTTAAATGTCTTAGGCACTACGCCACCAGAGCTCCCATTTAGAAGGGCAGAATTTACACGGGGAGAAAGATAGGGAGGCAGGAACGCATAGGCAAGAAGGACACAGGGAAAGAGTAACCACAGGGAGTAAGTGGTGAGGGATGTTACACCCTGGGGGAATGTAACCAGTGTTACAAAAGAAAATGTGGATGAACTGTTGAATGTAAAATGAATCTGCTTTGTGAAATTTCACCCAAATCACAATAAAAAGTTAAAAAAAAAGAAAATCTTATCATTGCAAATACCTGTATCTGTATATGTATATATAAAGTTAATGTGCATCAGGATAAATTTGGAAAATTAAAACTGATTTCCACTAAAAAAATTACATTAGATCTCTGTTACAGAGTGAATTGTGCTCCCCCAAAATATGTGTTGGCATTTTAACCCCTGTACCTGTGTTTATAACCCCATTTTAGGAATAACATTTTCTTTGTTATGGTGTTATGTTAATGAGGCTATATCAGTGTTCAGTGTGTTCTAAACCTAATCACTTCTGAGTTATAAGGAGCAGCATAGACACAGAGACAAGCAAGAACAAACAAGGGAAGATAGATGCCACATGAGGATTTCCAAGGAACCAAGGATTGCCAGCTACTAGAAGCTGACATAGACAAATAAGAGCCACACTCTACTTCTAACCTCCTAACCTATGAGAAAACAAATTTCCATTCTTTAAAGGCACCCTCTTGTGGTATTTCTGTTACAGCAGCACGAAGAAGCTAAATTAATCTCACATTAATTTAATCTAAAAACTTTCTTTCATTCCCTGAAGATGTTCCTCCATTCACAATTTTTGTCAACCAAGAGAAATTTTAAATTGTTATTTAACCAGGATGTGTTATTCATTTGTAATTAGTAATCGTTAAGTTGCTGTATTGATTTTAGGATGGATTTTCAC